GCAAACAAAAGCAGGTCAACAACTAAGACTAGTAGGAAAAAAACTATGAAATTAAATTTTAATCGTATATTGTGAGATATTTGGTAAACAAACAACAAATGGACGAAAATGAAGACCACGAAAACAGTCTGTCTTATCTATCAGTTTCAAAATGACCTACAAAAATAAATAAAAACCAAATCCAGAAATTGTACAGAGTATTGGATTTGTAATTTGCATACCACTGATTTTAGTAAAGCTGACGCAGAATTTGTAACTCAATTACAGACTAACGAATTCAGTTGCTGTGTGATGACTAATAGTTGCATGCGGGTTGCTCATATCTTGGAAGATAAGTGTCTGAATTCATCATTCACACACCTACAATTGAGTAGTTGAAATACTGAAGCACCCTAACCTGTCATGTATCAGAAAATAAACGTACTTCAAGACACAAATTTTCGTGGAATCAGGCACAGCTATTTGGACAGTCTAGTTGTTTATGTTTTTCGATTGAATCTGATGTATGAGACGTTGGTTATTTTATCGTCTTTTCTGTCTCACAAAGTCTTGAAGTATCGCAAAATACACTTTGGTTATGCCTAGTATTCACTATGCATTGACAGTGCTTCTTCGTCTCAGAAAATATCACTAAGCCTGGTGACGCGACACCCGCGACTACATGTCACACAAACCGGACCAGTTTGATATAAGTGTTTCGATGACTCACCAAATAGAATTTCACTTTGTCTGATAGAGACCCGACAGACCAAAAGACTACTTAGTAATTCATTATACGCCTACTGATGGAGCTGCTATGTCTTCAGTACACAGCAAATGAATCGAAAATTTTAAATAAATCAATAAAATACAATAACAGAATAACAACTCTTGCTTATCCATCTCGATTAGATTAGTTAATTTATGCAGTTGGGATATTAATGAGAATGGTTCATTCTACAAAACAAGGGTAGATAAATATACTTACTTCAAGGCGTTGAGTTAGTTGGTTGTACTTGACCTGTAGACTTTCATATTCCTGTTGAGCTTGAGTACTCTCTGATTGATATGTGCGTTCAATAGAAAGCAACTGTTGAACCTGACTGCGTAACTGAACTTCTGAACTACGTAAAGACTGGATTTCTGATTTCAAATGCTTAGCCTCAGCTTCTAGCCTGCAATTCAATCCACAATAAAGCAAACGGTGAGTACGTCATACATACCTGCTGAACAGATGTTACAAATAAAAGTAACAGTATCTTAATAATGACATATATCTGTGTAAGTAAGCGAATGACTCTATTCGGTTGGCATATTAAAGCTTACCAAAATATGATATAAACAGTGGTGAAATGTTGACTAGCCAAAATGCATAAAACCACTGGATCCATGACTTGGAAATAGTTACAGCTTTATATATATAAAACATGTATGTATAACACGAGTTTGGAAAAGTGTAGTGCGATTTCATTACGAAACTACAGGCAACGACTAAACATGCTGGCCACCATCTTTAAAATGGGACAGGAAGTAAAATCAAAGAAAGATACTGGATTACTATCCAAATATCTAGTAAATGGTATTGAAATTAGACGTCAGCTTCACTACCAATACCTGTTCACTCTTAATTTCATCATTTATCAACCGTCTATCTATCGTTTCCAATTAAAACCCTTGATATATATATATATATATATATATATTCATATAATACACTTGAGAAACGTTTCAAAAATGAATATATCTATTGTGATATGTGATGTTACACTTTACACAGTTGAATAGTGTATCCATAAACTATAACAAACACACAGACTGGCTAAAAAATACCATATGTGATCAAACTTTGAGAAGTAAGAGTTGAAATGTACTGACTGATTATCACTTCTGATAACGATAAAAGTAAGGCAGAAATTGACAGAGAGAATGATAAACGTGTTTTTATTGAAATACTAACATCTCAAATGATAGAAGCAAATATAAGAAAACCATGTATCGGTTGAAGAAATTGTGGGATTAGAAACGTATACATATATATCATATACAATGTGTCACTGTAATTCTCTAGATTTGTTGGCTTTCGAATACTAGAGGCACAGGACCCATCTTCACTTTTCTCCTTCGCCGGTAAAATTACAATAATTCATTTTCCCGCATCACATTTGACTATTGCAAAATTAAATCACTGAAACCACGTATTTGTGTTTAAAGACGTATCTTCTAGATGTAAAAAGTGATTCCCAACGGAAAACTAAGCGAAGCGTTAGAAGTGCAGACAGAAGTATGATAAAGCTTTCTACTATCATCGATGTGCCATTCTATTCAGCATAAATTATTGTCCTTGCTCTGTTCAAATCCCTTGTTGTGGTGGACTGGATCTTACTGCAGATCATGAGGAGCGTGAAGACGGAAATACGTTGAACTATCAAGGAGACTCTACGAGACTTGGATTTTGGATGATTTATGCCTAATATCGCACAAACTCGAAGATCTGCAAGCAGAAAACTGATAAGTTATCAGAAGAAACAATGAAGACATTTCTAATGAACATAGAGAAGAAAAAGGTGATGAAGACGCCTAACGAACAACAAAAAGCGGCAATCGCCATCAAGGGCGAAAATCTGAAAGAGGTCACCTCCTTCAATTACCTAAGCAGCATCTTTTCAACTACAGACAGCACGGATTAGGATGTCAAAACCAAGATCGGAAAGGCGAGACAAGCATTTACGACTCTGAAATTAGTTTGGAAATCTACTGCACCGAGCATAAAGATTGAGACTCGAATTTTCAACATTAATGACACACTTCAGTTCTTCTTTACTGTTCACACACTTGGTGTGCCACGTAAGGTATTCCTAACAGCCTATAGACTTGCATCAGCAGCTATCTTCGCTCCATATTAAAGATCTGGCAGCCAGCGACAAGGAACTCTGACAACGAACCAATCAACAACCTATTGACCCAACAAACATGGAGAATGAAATGCAGATGACATACGCTGAAGACATCAAGCGTCACGTCCTCAAGTGGAGTCCTACCGGGAAACAACGAATTGAACGTTCGAGGTTGACACAGGGGAGGAGATCGTACGGAGAGGAGAGCTTAAAGGCAGTTATTGAGCCAGCTAAAAAGGAGTGCAGAGAATACAGTGAAACTGTAATGCACTGTTAAAGCCCTGTGTTCCACTCGTAACACAAGGCAATAAGAAGAAGTAATGCTAGCACCTTACACGTACAATATAAAGATATTATCTTACAAAATAAAGAAAACCTTACTTTAAAGTATATTCATCCTTGTTAGAATTTTTACCACTATTTTTACAACCAGTTGATGACGATGGATTTGAAGCTGACGCATTAGGTTTGCCACCACCACCACTACCATTACCACCGCAAGCGGCTCCAGAAACAGCAGTAGAATTCATAGCAGTACCGGAAGTTGTTTTTGTTTTTTGTTTTACACCACTAGACTTAGTGTTTGTTGATTTAGTTTTATTACTAGTTGGATTATTTACACCACTTGAAGATTTAGGCATAGATGAATTAGAACATGTTGAAGCTGATGAACTGGATGTAACAGATTTAATTGAAGATGGTGACTTTTTACTGACTAATTTTTCTTCTTTACCGACATTTTCCTTTTGAATACAGCTCTCTTGATGAATATCATGGGAAGAAAGTTTTACGACAGTATTTTCAGCAGATGCCAAGATTTTTGTATAAGAATCAGACTACAACATAAAACACAAAACGTTTTGATGGATAGAATTAAATCTGCAGAAGTCATATGAAAAAAAATTTTGGGCTGTGGAAGATAGAGTGAAAATCAATATCCATGTACGCAACAGGTTTTGCAAAAGCACATGATTGAAACAACTCAATATCTTCAGTTAACAGTAGGGAAAACTCATGAGCATAATATAAACAATTATCAATGAGTAACACGCTTAAACATAAACCGTAGACAATGTGACGTTTGAAAATATCAGACATAATTTAAAGTTATGTCCACTTGCCTGCACATTTTATTTGCGGTCTCGTCACTTATAAAATCTTATTGAAAATTCCAAACAAGACTATTATTTCTTCAGACTTTACTGCTATAAAGTCACAAGTATAACCATATAATAGCCAGTAAAGGACAAATAAAGATTACATCGAAACAGTGTAATGATAGATGGAGACCAATGAACTGGAATGAAGTCATGGAATATCAAATAATTGATGTAGATGGAGATTATAGCTGAATAAGGAATATGCATCCATTTGAAATATAGGATATTATGATCGCCAAGTGTGAGTATGCGACTTGATACTACACAAAGGCAAAATTTTACGAGATTTACAATGAGTGGAATTGAAGAATACTTGAATACAAAATGGAATAAAATGGATTCAAGCACATCACTAGTTTCCGTCAATACGTTGTAATAATAGTGCTTACGTGAAAGAAACAAACACCGAAGGATCTGGCATCTAACAAAGGCTATGAATAAGATAGATGTGAAATGATGCGTTCATCATATGGAGGAAGAGTCCTACAGTAACTTTGTGTCTTGAAGCACAGGTTGTATTCTTTATCCACTTTTCTGTTTATAATCTCCGCTAAGAAAGTGATATTTACGAAATCAACATGGTAAGTGTCTTAAAAGAGGATGGAAGAATAACAATATTCCTCATCTATTACAAGACAGATTATTGATCTATTGTGGATTACATTACCAATAAAAATGTTTACGGAGCGGTTACTTAAGACAACTAATTTTCGGATAACTTAAATGATTGCTATTATTTGCAGTCTTGACCTATCGGCACCATTTTCAATTACCTGAGTTGCTCCGAAACAAGTGTTATGTCAAATATAACCATTTTGAAGTACTTCGAGTAACTTTGTTAGTCAGTCTCAAGAGAGGCTTTCGTGAGGGCTTATTCAGAGGTAACACTAACATCTTAACCATGTCACGTTATGACTATATCTAATATTAGGAGTAAACATTAAATCCAACTAGATTCAAGGATTATGATTAAGCCCCTAAAGTATGTACGAAAGTTAAGTATTTTCATAAGTTAGCTTAGACACAACAAGTGAGACTGCATACTGCTTGGAAAAGCTTCCTATTTCTAAAAAGAGATGCAAGTGCTGAAGTGGTATAGTATACCTGACCCGGAGAAACTCTGGTTTGTATGGTCATGAGACCTTAATTTGGGGATTAATTAAATTATCTGAGGTAAGGTAGACAAAAATGAAAAATTAGTTCAGTATGGTATTCATCGGTAAATATCACCCTATCTTATTGGTAGGACATTACTTAACTGTGATTACACAAAGGATACACAGAACACTATGGAATGCTAAATACTTTCTCAAAATTGACAAGATGTATATTTACACTCACCCAAGCATTCTAGCATCGGTGATTTAGATGTGCTACAAATGTCGTTCAGCATAGTTACCCTTTTATAAGTCATGAAAATGGCTTAAAGAAGAGTTAATGTGGTTAGATCATGAAATGGGAAGGTAGGATACGATTTGCGTTGGTTTACCATCTGTCGGCGTATCACAAATCATTGAATCAATACCAAGAAAACATGAGCTCAGGTAACTCGAAATGTTATCAGAAGCGACCAGGAATTTCACATTTTTCTTAAAGACGTCAGTGATGGCAATTTCTTAGCAGTGAGAGTGGTGAAAATGGACAAAAGATGGGGGTTTTCAATATCCAGGATGAGGTTTGACTACAAATACATCAAGTGTAGTGTAATGTATCACAGATAAAAAAACATGGTTGGGAAGCAAACTTGACCTAAATTGTTCATAGAGCTATGAAATCTCAGTGTAAAAACTTAAATTTACACTGCGTGTCTGCTTATTACTGGGCTGGTGCTTAAATCGCATTGTTTAAGTTGATCATCCACACAAAATATGGACGTTTCCTTGATGAAGACATTTTCCTTTCGAAACTCAATAAACCAAAAATGCTAAATACCAGTGAGTATTTTATTTGCTACAAACTCCACCTTTAGTCACTGCTTATAGAGTAGCTTGTATGGTCTTTTTTTCTTCTCAACAATACTTTTAAACTAGAATAAAGTGGAGTAAATCTGGCAGAAAAAAATATTGCATCATGAAACGTAATGGACATACCTTTACTGCCAATGCTGAAGCTGCAGACGCATAATTGTCATTTTGATCACCAACTTTAAGTTGAAATGTATGCTCTTGAGAAATATTTTTACCAGTTGAGCATATAGCAACATCCGTACAGTTACTTCTATGTGCAGTTGATGAATTAGTGATACGTGTAGTAGTAGTAGTCGTCGTCGTAGTGGTAGTGATAGTTGTACGGCTATGATGTACAGATATGTTTTTACGGTTTGTATTTGTAATACAATGATTATCTTTGTCCTTGGAATGAATTAGGCTAACAGCGTTACTCGCCTCAGCCACAATATGTCCTGTTGAAGTTGAATTTGGCACTGTGGGTGTGGAAGAGATGGCTAATGTCGGACAATTATTATTGTCACACAGCACATTTGGGTTTTTCGATTTAGAATTAGAATCTTAGGCGGATCAAATAAATATAAACATAGGTCAAATCAGCTCAGCAAAATAATACTAGAGAAAAAATGAATTTTTTTTTAAAAACATCCCATCTTGGCGGCCTATTTCGTATTTGTACTGTGAAGAAGAGACTGTCAACACGATGATACGACTACAAAACCAATAACCAAAGATACTGTTTCATGCACAAAGTGTTAATTTTAGACTAAATTTCAAGTGGACAACAGTTCATGTCTCTTAAAACCAGTGGGATGATCTTCAGAGATAAGCGAAACTAAATCATAATTCAAAGACTGATGGGATCCGCTAGATCTACTAAACCTGCAGGTCCCTCAAACAAAAAAGGCTTTTAAATTCAAGAATAGTAAGTGAAACTAGCACAACAGTTTCCCACTTAAGATATAACTTAAGTATTTAGTTCGTAAATCAGAAATCGCACTGTTTGCATTGCGAGTAATTACGTAACGCATTCAGGAATAATAACCACTTAAGCTTGAAAACTACTGATGCGGGAAATGAAACTCCGAATAAAATAGAGTCATAAAATCTATAGATCACAGGTAATCACCATATCGGTCAGACTTTTGATGTAGTACCACAAAGAAGCACAATTATACAATGTTAAACATGGAATAGCAGAAAGAAGAATGATAATTAAGATAATCGTACAAAAGAGAATCAGTTATAATCTTGCCGTACAATATCACATCACGAAACAACGCTAACACGATAATGTATGTTAAAAGCTACTTGTTCGGTTAAAGGTCGAACATAAGTGAAAGATAAAAACAGTGAAAATTTATGCCGATACAGTCGGTCAAATGAGAACGCAGAGAATCCACAGACAAATTTCACTAGATAAATGAAACGTCAGTTACACTGAATGGTCATAGACAAAATTTTGCAAACTAAAATAAGTTCACCGTCAGGGCGTTTTCCGTCAATTAATTTCATTAAATATCATAGATATTTGAGGAAAAAGCTGACTTCATTCAGCGAAACTTTGTTAACAACACTATTGGATTTAAGTTGGAATTTTTCCCAAATGCCTAATAAAATTGAATACACAGATGTCAAACTTAACTACCAGGAAAACACGTTAACGTCCATTCGTATATATGGCCAAGTTTACTGATGACTTAAAGCATGAACCACCAGTACGCATAGTAACTCCGTATATTGATTCCCTGATACATTTAGCTGCCTTTTGATATATACATAATTCCCTTACGTTCCCTGTGGAACAAAGGGCTTTAAGCTAGAGGCTTGGAGTTTCGAAAGCAGTGGTGTTTACTTTTACGGGATGGGGTTGCTAGCATCACGCCCAACCTTTTCTCTTTACCAGTCTTATTACTGGCTTAGTGATGTAAAGGAGTGCGTCGACCGGGGGTCCAACCCAGAACCCCCTGCGTGGTTGGCAAGCATTCTACCGCTGTGCCACCGACGCACTATATATACATACTACATAATGCTAACAGAGACATAAAAATGGCAGGATGTCTATGTGGAAAAAAGATATCTGTACGGCATAGAAATAAACAAACCTGATTTTAAATAGAACCACAATTCTTTTGGTAAAGCTCTTTCAAGTATTGAGAAAAAGGTTGTATTTTGTGCTGCAACCCATCTTTTTCTTCTCTGTATAGCAAGACATTTAAAAACAGAATTGTTAGTTAATATCTTACCTAAATGAAATAAATAAATCACATAAACCAAGAAAAATACATACATCTGAAGTGGAATTTCTCGACAACACAGATATATAATTCTACATGACAAAACACAAAGTATATGTAATCAAACAGCTCGTTAAAATCAGTATCCATTATGAAGATACTGTTGTTTGTTTGTTTAGACGATCTACACTGATGGTCATCCACATAAAACCATTACTAAACAAACGGTTAACACATTTCCAACTAAGCCACCATGAGAACGAGCGTAATATATATATATATATATATATATATATATATATATGCAGAGGTTTTCCAATGAATTAATTTATTACAGTTGATTCAACTTCACGCATAAGAATAAAGTGCTCAATGAGTTCAACGATTTCATTCATTATTAAACTAGTAGTTGGTGTAAACTCAACTCACACTTAGTAGGGATGAAGCGTGTGCCAAACAAATTCAAACTTTTTGGTTGGGACGTTCAGAAGACATACGCTTCGCAAGTACTTTTACAAGAACCAAGCATATTACTAGTGTATCTCAAAACATGATCATCTATTAAGTATTAGACGTGACTCACAATTTAACACAAACAAAAAGATTTTAATTCATAACTGATTTAAACATTTCTGTTTACGAAAACTTTATTTATAAACTGATGTCTGTCTGTCTGTTTTCGACATAGAACTTTGCACATATGTGCGGCAGTTCAAGTCGCCACAATCCATGTAGCACGCAAAGCAAGAGAAGGAAGTAGAAGAAATGCAAAATATAGACAGTAAACAGAGGTGTGAGACAAAGGAATAGTAATAACGGAGAACAAAACAGTTTAACTGGAAATGATAAGTCACAAGGAGTGGATGCATCTGCGCCACTGAGAACGATTTTGAGCCATGTCGCCAATTGTTTCCAACCATTGGTTTTTACCATCCCGAGGGCCCCAACCAGGAAGTCTACATCTTCCTACGTGGCTTAGATTAACTGTTGTGGATTTCATTGATTGGTGCCATGTTTTCGTTTGACCGCCGCTAGCTCTTTTCCATCCTGGCCCTATATCAGCTAACATTGCCCGTCGAGGAAGGCGATGACTAGGCATACGTAGCACATATCCTAACCATCTCAGTCGATGCAATTTCACAGTCTCGTCGATTGATTTCCCCGCCTTACCTAGCACTCGACGCCTAACCTCAATATTGCTCACCTTATTATTCCACTTCACGCGGGAGATAGAACGCAGACACCTATGATCAAAGACAGCTAATCTTTTCATGTCATCTGCTCTCAATGGCCAGGTCTCACAGCCATAAAGGAGGACGGAGCGGACTGTTGAGCAGTACACACGCCCTTTGGTCGACAGTCGGATATCGCGTCTACGCCAGAGACGGCGAAAACTGGCGAATGCGAACCTAGCCCTCTGTATTCGTGCTGAAATTTCGTCGGAGATCAACCCGTTGGCGCTGATGGTACTTCCCAAATAAGTGAAGCGGTCAACGTGTTCTACCACTTCACTTCCTATTTCTAATCTAGGGGTCGATGAAGTCCAATCCTGCAGCATCATCTTACATTTTATAGGGGCGATGAGTCGGTTGGCGATTTCATACAGCTACCCACTACCAGTTCGGAAGGAATACGAAGTCGTTCTACAACTAAATAGGAGAACGTTATGCACTGAAAATTGTGCCTACACAAAGAACGTGTAAATATCAGCAACGTAAGCAGCTGGCAGTCCCACTTGAGTCTGTACTTCTGTATTACGTCGGTAATGTCTCGATTTTACAGAATTTCACCAGAGTAAGAATATCGTCGATTTTCTAGAGTTCATAAAATTCTGTGTTTAGTCTCATATAAAAATACTGAACCAAGATGAAAATTTAATTTAGAAGAATACATTAAAGGTTTAGGCAGTTTTTTAAAATTAAGAATTGCAAATAAGAAGAATTACGGAATATTACGACTACTTCAACTCAGCTGAAGAAGTTCGGACCAGTTTGCCGAACGAAACGTTGGAACTAATAATTTCAATTTCGTTGAGATTTTACAAATATAATTTTTACAAATGAAGAAATAAACCAACACTGAAGGTCACATAGTTGTGTAACCAAAAGATATGTTAAAACTCTTGCAGTTGATATTTTAATCTTGCTGTTGAAGATAAACCTGTGAAATAAAATTATACCATAGCATGATGGCCAAGGTGTTGGTCGTTTTTCACTGAACTTCATAGAAGGAATACGTGTGACATTATCCAATTAATACAGACACCTCTGAACAAAGAAGTGATAGTCTGGTGGTATTCAACCTATGATTAAATGCAAACATCAAGAACGTAGATACTTTAAAATTCAAAATCCGAGTAGAAGTGATGAAAAAGTACAACGACATGCAAAAGTTAAAGTAAGATGAAAATAAGTAAACACCTACCAGACGGAAATGATGCGAAATCGTACTTTTCAAACTGAAACCCAAAGTTACAACCGGATAGCCGATACTAATGGTGAGAAATAAAAAAAAGGAAAAAGCAGGTCAAAACCGAGAAACTAGTTGACAACGTTACTTCACAATATACATCAAAGTTCATAGTATACCATCACTGTTAGCTATGCGAAAGAAATAGAGGAATTGATGTCCTCTGATCATGACCGGATTCATGCGCTACGTTATGAAACATATCTCTGTTGCAAAGTGAATACCTGAATCAACAGTCAAGTTATGCTAACGTGACTGAATTTAAAAGTATTATCGAATGGTTAGAGAGAAGCAGTAAACGAAACCTTACGTAATTCTTATCTAAAGACAGTATTTCATGTACGGCAAGTCTAAAAATACTGGAATTCACTGCTAGAACGATTAACCACTATTTGGTTGAATAGACATTCTAAACTATGCATCATAATTAAGAGATGTCTTCTTTTATTCACCTTTACATAAATCTAGCTACTATGAAATCAAAATATGACTGCTTCGAAAATAAATTGGCTGACATCTGCAGCTCACGCTTATAAAAGAGTAATTGGATTAAGTTTTAAAAGAGAATATCACCTTACATTACACATGAAAATAGCCACTGTTCATATGTGAAATGAATCCATGATGCTACTAGGTAGAAGTATAGAGAATCATATAATAATTATGAACGGTTTTTCCGATACAAATTATTCAAGTGAAGTACACCGTTAGCAATGCATGCCATTCATAGTTCGCAATTCTTAAAGGGAACAACAGTGAATAAAAGCGACCCTGTAAGTAATCTTTGATCTTTATCTTCACTGTCATTTTTTATGTGAATTATGAGAATTCAGATCAGTGAAACAGACCAAATAGCGTCTTTAAAATCAGAGAATACATGCGAGAGATTACAAACTATATGAGATTCGACTTTGATCAAGTTTCAGATTAGTTCAGATTTCACTCTAACAACTAAGATTGAAGGAGATGAATAGTACTATTAGTCTTTAAACAGTAAATGTAGTATATACACTAGTATATCAGTCCGCTTACTCTAATTTTTAGTGCAAAAAGTATAAATATGAGTATTATTGATGATAATTCTATGTAAAACATGAAAAAATGGCTAGTAATAAATATAATGACCACGTAAGTGATCATCACAAGTCTTAACTGTTTGTGGAAGTATTTTAAATCCAACAAAGCAGCAAGCTCAAGTGACAATCACAAAAACGCGTAATAAGATGAACTGATGAATGAAGCAGATTTTTGGGTTCAAGTAGCTAAAAATCTTTAATGGATTGTTGTAAGTAGCCTCATTTGATACTTTTAGTCAATAATATTTATTACGTTTAGGCGTTACGCATTACTCCAAGTAAACACTCAAAAACCTAACAAGACTATTCGCTAAACTTTCAGCCTCATCGTGTATTTTGTGTTTACAATGGGTTTTGAAAGAAATTAATTTTAGTGAATAGGAAATAAAGATTTTTACTTGCTGTAGCTTTCAGAAAATTTCTACAAACGGGGACACACTGCCAATCGGGTATATTCACATCTTTGTGTACTTTCGGTATAGTACATCTATCCAAGCTTATTTTATTTGGTCATAATCTCGTAACTTGAATCACATGGTTTTCTAGATGTCAGAAGGAAGAAAGTGACAGATAGCCCTAAAATCTACTTGATAGTATACCATAAAATTCAGCATGGGAGCAATTACTCAACCTAATGACTATGTTGTACACCTGATCATAGACTAGACAGTTACAATTATTCTTACTCAGCAACTAATTCGCGATAAGCAGCTTGTGAAATGTGGAATCTAAAATCACCTAAAAGTAGTTCGGATTTAATAAATGATCAAAGTAAAGTGGTAATGACGAATTTTAAGGATTCATTAAACCAAATTAGTGATTGATTGACCATTTGGTTGGTTAGTGGAAAAGTGACTGAAATCAATACAATTTTCATTCAAGTCAATGTTCATCACTGACTGCCTCAAAACATAAATTCCCTCTATTACTCATATTCTAAGTTTTCGAATTAGTAAGCATAAATATATGTATGCAATTAGAATAATAGATAACAAAAAAGTACGATCAGTCTAAAAGAATTTCAGCAATACAGACCACTAGATTCCAATGATGACGTGATCATTGCAATACTGAAGATTCTTTTTTCTATTGTATACATAGCAATACATTTCCACTGATGAACATTGTCGGATAGGATACGACGTTCATTTACTTTCTTTTGCTCTTAGTAGCCACCCAATTGACACGTCATGCGGTGATGAAAGATACTCTGAAATTAGTATTAACCTGTTTCGCCTTTTTCATGAAACACTAATATTAAACCACTTAAAAGTGCAGAAAAATAGGGAAATAGCAGTGACAAGTGTGAACAGATGTATTGAGAAACTAAAAACTCACAAAAAATAGAATATTGCTAGCCTTAAATATTCATACTCCGGTTGTTCTGTTACTGGAGATTTTACACAAAATTTTAGGATTCGGAAGTAAAGCATATCTTTGGGTACTCGTTTCAGTGACTTTGATGACTACACAACATATAAGTAACAACAGTAATGGACTGTATGAATTTCCTTTCATACCACTGAAATTCCATACTTCCTGATATAGTTTGCTTGTGTTTTAGCTCAAATTCAGGAATACATTTGAATACCCAAATGAAGTTAGCATGCAAGGCTTTGTTCCATAACGGATGTCAACTATTCTTTGTGTGAAAAGCAGAAAAGGGAGTTTGAGAAATGTCTATAACGTTTCATCCATGTTGTGTTTTGATATAATCTATTTCACTGTTCTAATTGTATCTCTTCTTTTTGCAAGAAGCATAAATGTAAAAGGTCTATAACTAAATTCATCATCTTAGTCAGACAGTCACTCATGCACACCCACGACAACAGCTACTGTGTTGCAATCCAGTGAGTAATTCAAAAATATATTACTTGGTTTCATTTCTTTAGGAATTTCAGAAGAAACACACTCAATAATCAAGTCTTACACCATTTAAACATAAGTGATGTCGGTTCATTATTAGGAAGTCTAATTTGGAACCATCCAAAATCCCACACACCGAACTTCTGAAAATCATCCAGATCTACAAAATATGTAAACTTTCAAATTGAAGTATGGGCTGAAGATGTTACCTAGTAGGGCAATGAGAGCTTCGTGAAAAAAACTATCCAGCTCAGAGAACACAACTACATAAAAAACTTACCAATGTGCTGCAAAGGGTCTGCAAAGATCTATACCAAAGGGGAAGTTTTTCGGACCACGAAATCGCGCAACAAACTCGAAGTAGGGGAACATGCAGCACAGTGCAACAGTCGGAATATAAAAGCCACGGTCTAAATAGGGAAAAATAAAGAAGCCCTTTACTACACAAGACCACAATAGCATAATATGCTAGTACTAATGTCTCTGCGTCAAAAACTAAAGAAAACATACATGGGACAACAGCTAAAGAAAAAGCTTAACTCTCTACTATGTTATCACGAATTACCTCACCTATCGCACATCCCGTCATCTGATCCGTTGCTATTATATTTTCGCCATACACAAACTATTTTATTTTAATCACCTTTGGGTTCCTTAGTTTGAAATTTGTCTACCCGTAGCCTTTTGAGTTGCTAGATATTTACCTTCAGAAGGCTGGCATCCCGCGCAGTATATAATACGGCTTTTATGACGCAGTGCTTCAAATTCAGGCTTTCAACTTACAGCATTTTCACACTGATGTAATTGGGACAACAGCAAGGTTACACCAGAATCTTAGAAATGGTTGCTATTGATGACGGCTGTAACTTACAGCCTCAAATGACTTCACCATTCACAAGTCCGAAGAGTATGTTTCACGTGCGCTGTAAAATTGACCTGCAGCTTAGCTGGTATCGGTGTATTAGGCGTCCATATTGTTGTTTTACTATTTTTTGCCAATATTGCACCATGTTTGTTTCAAATAATATAAACAGTAAAATAAACATCAACTACCACATTTCTTATATCATTATTGCATTTCTACACAGAATCAATTGTAATGCACAGTTTTTTAGAATATATTTCCAAAGCATATTTAATGCATACGTCATATAAAACTGGGAATGACAATCACGATTACTTTATCTTCATTACATTCTATTTGGAACATATGTTAGTACTGAAGTCAAAACACCAATACAGCTTCAGAAAGTAGTTTATGTTAACATATACAACAGATGTGAATGAGTGATTTAAATATATCCACCTTTGTTGGTAACCCAAATTATCAATCCGCTTAAGCGAGACAGTCATTACAAATCCAATTGGTTAAGTGACTTGATGTGTCTCCAGACGGGGCGGAAATCGCCTAAATTTTAGCTTCAGTTTAGTGAATTTAATTTCGTCCGGAAAGTGTTCCATCATCGTAGATAAAATTAATTAATTCCTATGACCAGCTTTACGAAATGACTGATCCAACAAGGTGGAGCTTGAAAAAAGTAGAAGTCTAAGTTGTCACACTTCGGAAAACTACGCAAAAACTGGAGAAAACAAATGCAATAAAACTACAATGAACGAAGGTGCAAGAGAGAAAGAATAACTAGATGACGATAAGTGAGGATTTCGAAAATGTGGACGATGACAAAAAATGAATACATCTGCACCATAGTAAACAATTTTGAATCGTGTTACCGACAGTCTCCAAACAGTATTCTTGAAATCACGAAAACAACAGCCAGGCGATCTACACCACTTATATGATTCGAACCAACACACTTCATTAATTGGTATGTTTTTGATCGGCCAACGTTAACTCTCTTCCCAACTTATCCTAACTGGAGTTTATCTTGAGCTTCATTCAACAAGAAACTTTCATGCTAGAACTATTTAAAACTAATCAATACAATAAGAGATAAACATTAGGCTGAAAACAAGCCAGTTGTGAAAAGTAAAATGATAAATGGTTGTTGTTGTGTTTTACATTAGTCCTCGTATCTTTTATCGCCATCAAAACATGAACGGCAAATTATAAAAATGCTATAAACGTTATAAAGACAGGTATTTTTGCAGGGTTTATTAAAAGAAATGAGGAGCTCAGTCTTAAAGGAGCAGTAATGTACAGTAAAAGTAATAATAAATGATAAGGAAATTGATTCGTCCATAGTGTAAAACAGCTATGGTTACACAACGCTTTATAACGATACAAAAATTGCAAGTATTATGCGCATTTGTGAAGAAACGGCTCACCTGTTTGCCATACGAGCTGTATCCATACAAATGAGCTACCAAGCAGGTAGGTAAGTGTAGTGGGTAAGAAAAAGTAACACAGCAAATCAGCCATGATTGCACTGAGAGTAAAAAACAGAGCAAATGCCTAAAATATAAGAAAGTTTTATTACTAGTAGTTTGTGATTTTCAAACAACGAGAGAAACAAAGCATAGTTTAAAGTAGACTCAAAAGAAGCCCACAAATTTGATGATAACTAACAAAGTATTACTATCGAAATTTTAGTCAGTTTATTTTTGTTTTAGTGTAACAGCAGTATTGAACTGTGGGAATAGTATTCGGACTAGCAACAAATAGAAGGTTTAAATAGATATGTAGTATTCTGTTGCTAATGCAGTATTGAACCATGGGAATATGTGAGAATAATATTCCGTTGGAATACATTGGTCTATATCAAATTAAACTAGATTTTGTTAAAAAATCTTCTTTTGCTTTATTTTGCATATTTTATTGGTAACATATCTAAATTAACAAGTGCTTCTTAATGTCTAAAGTGACCTGAAGACGTACTAACTCGCGTAAAAAGCGACGTAAACAATCTACACTTTGCCATTAAGCACCTATAAATAAAAGACGTCTGTGAAATCCAGGAATACAGGACTCCATAAGTTCATCATTGTATTGGAGTATAATGGTCTACAATTTCAAACTTCTGCGAATTAGTTATCCCGGTCGACAGCTGCTATTTTCACGTGGTTGTAGGGTTGACCCAATGAGCTACAATGGCAGGTCTTACCATACCAAAAGTTTGTTTGGATAGCTGTTAGACTAAAAGCGGTTACCAACACAGTATAAGTCACTCACACTGTATTGATTTGCTTTTGATTACAGCTTGATTTCACACCGTATTATTAGGTACAGGTATGGAATTTTCAGCATGTGATATCGGTAGCCCAACCATAGATATCAGGTGTGCGTCGGCAGGGGATCGAACCCCGGACCATGTGCATGGTCGGCGAGAGTCCTAACCACTGTGCTAAGTCGTACCGCTGGTGGAAAGGACGAATAGTGAGCTAGTTATGCTGACTCTTCGCTCTGGTGGGTAGGAGGTTGACCCCGAAGATTGTACTTCCCAATTTACCTTGTGGCGATCCGTAGCTGGATACTCCAAACACTAACACAAACGGGGTTTGTGTCTGGCCGGCCATAAATAGCTGCCAGCTGGACTCTGTCATCACGCAACAACAGTGCCCCTTCTGTTGCGGGTATCTTAAGAAAAAATAAATTTCCGCGGTATGTGGGAAGTAACAACCACCCACACACTTCCATAAGCACACAAGGCTTTCCTGATCATCGTAACTTCATCTTCTTGCACTTCTCCTACCGTTAATACGAATGCACAGGTAGATCCTCAGTCTTCTCTTAACTCTGCACACTAACAAATTCGTATTGAAGCATTCAACATCAAGACCTTTGCCAAACAGGACAACAGGCTTCACTAGCTGGAACTCTGGGATCTCCATCTACAGATGCGTGTGGTGTTTCGGAGACACACATTTTATTTTTCATTCCTTCGCGTTCCCAGTGGAACACAGGGCTTCAAGCTAGAGGCTTGAGGTTTCTGTAGCGGTGTTTATTACTACAGGAGGGGGTTGCCAGCCTCATGCCCAACCTTTCCTCTTTACCAGATTTCTTATTACTGGTTTGGCGGAGAAAAGGAGTGCGTCGGCCGAGGATCGAACCCCGGACCGTGTGCATGGTCGGCGAGCGCCCTAACCGCCGTGCCACCGAAGTACAGGAGACACACATGCAAGGGCAAAAAATCCGTACTTAATTGGATTCCAGTGCATAGTGGAATATGTGTTGTCTAACTGAACAGATTCATCCGAAGGAAACATGATGCCCGACGATTTCTTTCCACAATCTCTCCTTACGCCCTACCCCAATGCGGTTAGGGAGAAGTAAAGGATAAATTCTGTCACAATCTGTCTGTGGGATGCCGAAAACATTGTCATTTTGGTAGATGATTGTAATGTTCAAGTAGGAAATTCGTGCTGGTTGTAAAAGTATATCGGTTGCACCTATGGAGTCCTATCTTGACAGAACATTTATTTACTGTCTGTCAGTCACATACAGCAACGATGTAAAATTCTTCATAAGTAGTCCTTGATATTACAAAAAAATATTCATCAATTCATGCCCTTGATTTTCTGAATGCTCTTATAATAATCTGCTAGTGTGAGGAAGCAGCGGAGACAGGGCTCCAAGTGAACATAGAGAAGACGGTGATGAAGCTAACTGATAGACCAACAACAACAGCAAGTACCAATCACTATCAATGGCAGAAATCTGAAAGAGGCCACCTCTTTCACTTATCTAGGCAGTATTGCTTCAACAAAAGGCGACAAGCACGGATGAGGATGTCAAAACCAGAATAGGAAAGGCAAGATACACCTTCATCACTCTAAAATCAGTATGGAGCTCTGCTGCAGTCAGAATAAAGAACAGGATTCAAATTTTACCACCAATGATATCTCGGTTCTTACATATGGGTCAGGAATTTCCACTATGTGTCACGAATAGCATTTCAGACAGTCAGGTACACTTTTATCAATAGCTACCTTCGCCCTAAAGACCAAATGGCCAGAAAGAATTAACAAGAAGAAACTCTGGGAACAAGTCAACCACGAACCTTTCGGTCAACAGATATGGCGAAGAAAATGGAGATGGATCGGACACAGGCTGAGGCCGTCGAATTACATCGTGCACCAGGCCATACCTCGAGTGGAATCCATGTGAGAAACGACAAGTTGGGTGTCCAAGGGTGACATGAAGGAGACCATGTGAGAAAGTGAAAGCCCATGGGCAATCGTGGAGCCAGCCAAAGAGGACTGTAGAGAACAAGACAAAGTTGAGATCTGTTCCAGTCGGTACCCAAGGGAATAGTAATAAAACAATAATAGTGTGAAACGCGATCAACCTGTTGAGGTTGATGCGACTTCCCAAATAAGTGAAGTGGTCAACACGCTCTACGACTTCACTCCCTATATTTAAGCTAAGAGTAGATGTAGTCCAGTCCTGTAGCATCACCTTACACTTGGCGGGAGCGAATCGCATGCCAAACATACGCGGATTGCAGCTCAATGTGTTTAGAAGACTCTGCATTTTGTCAGCGTCTTCACCTAGGAGGCAGGACTATATCAACCGCATATTATAAGTCAACGAGATCATTCCCTGGTAAGAAGTCAGTCCCTGAGTCGCTGAAGTCAGCAGTTAGGGGACATCCAGTCAGTTGTAGAAACAGTGGTAAAGACTGTTGAAAACCTGAAGCCAAAGGTTATTAAATACCAGAATGTTTCTGCTGCTTCAACTCAACTCACAGATTAAAGACTAGTTCCGGCTGGCTCCGAACATTAGGAATAAAAGCTGCTCAAATGAAAGCTAAAAGCTTTCACAACAACTGTGAACAGTGGTGGGCGACAAAAGCAAAAAGATGGGAAAGATATCAGCAGTAGGTAATACGAAACAACTACTTAAAATCACTAGGGAAATGGGATGTAAACAACTAATGGTAAGTTAAACTATTTCCGAGAACGGTACTTCTATTACTTCAAACAGGGAAGGTTGGAGGGAATGCTTTTAGGAGTTATTTAACTGGCCCACAACTACGCTAAACTTGTCCAGCACCTAATACTCACATGAATAGAATCAGGACATCGGTCGTTTAACTGGAACTGAGGTCAAAAGTTGTCTCTAATCTCAGCGACTTTAGCGTCCTGTAGATTAACTTATTATCACAGAACAGTCTCGTTGATTTAGAGTAGAAGGATAATACAGGCCCCCTAAGCGAAGACGCTGACTGAATGCAGTCTTCTGAACACCTCGAGCAGAAATCTTCGTATACTTGGCATGCGATTCTTGTCAAATGCATGACACTGCATGACTGGACTGAAATAACTTCTAGTTAAGTGAGTGATTGAGTTTTAAAAGAGAACTTTGTCCGGTAGTCGATCAGTTCACGTTACAACATTCTATGTAGCACATAAAATTGAAAAGAAAAAAGAACCAATAATCAGCAGAAATATGCGGGAGAAAGAATGGTAACATGGAAAATCACGAGGGCCTCATAGATTTGAAGGATCACAAAAGTTGAATGCATCTGTGCTATTCAGAACTACTTTGAGTTATATCACCAACAGTCTCCAAACATTGGTTATTAGCATCCTGACCTCTTCAACCTGGCAGTCTACACCTGCCTACACGGCTTAAACCAACTATCAGAGACTTTACGGATGGATGCAAGGTGTTAATTGGCCAATTCCCGATTCTTTCCCAACGTAAACCCTATATCAGCTAACATTGCTTGTCGAGGAAGGCAGTGATTTGGCATGCGCAACACTTGCCTTAGCCACCTCAATCGATGTATTTACACAACTTCATCGACTGACCGCCTTCCTTACGTGATGCCCTACGCCTAATCTCGATATTGCTCACTAGATTTGTACCAATTCACGCGCGAGATAGAACGTAGATATTGGTGACCAAAGACAGTTAGCCTTATCTTCCACTTTTAATGACTGTCCCACAGCCATAAAGAACGACAGTGAACTGCTGCGCAGTACACAACATCATTTGGTAGGTAGCCGGATACCACGTCTACGCCGAAGATAACGTAAGCTGGCAAATGACACACGAGCCTTTTGTATCCGTGCTGAGACTTCGTCAGTAATTGGTCCATTAGGACTGATGCAACTTCCTAAGTAAGTAAAGTAACCCCCACGCTGTACCATTTCACTCCATCTTCAAACTAAAAGTCAGTGTAGACCAGTTATGCAGCATCGTTACGTTAAACAGAAGCGAATCGCATATCAAACTTATTAAGATTTCTGCTGGAGGCGTTCAGAAGACCCTGTGTATTATCAGCGTCTTCACCTAGGAGGACGGTATCATCAGCATGTGGCGAGAGCTGTCTACTAGCCAAATTGGTAGACAGTAATTTACGTCAATATTTACGTTCCCAAGATTTGTCGTGAGAAAATGTGAACAAAGATTGATTCAAAACCGACCACAGCAGACTTTGCGTAGGCGGATGCAGTTAACATATAGAGGATTTGGCATTCAAGAAAGTCACAAATAGATGAAAGATT